TTGTTCTTTATATTTTGTTTCAGATATACAAAGATTACCTAGAAAAATACCCTGAAAGTTGTAGACTCAGAAAATGAAGAATTTACAGTAAGCATATTGATTGATATTGGGGTTCACGATCTTAATGACATAAAATATGCAGTTATCACAGTGCTGAGAGCAGACACGGAGAGACAACTGCGAAAAAATGGAAAAGTTAGTAAAGGAAAGCAATAAGAAAGGAATGAGACTAAAATGCAAATTACAAATCGGAAAATACCAAAATCAAATAAGTAGAAAATTTTAAATATCTGGGAAGTTTTTTTTTTTTTTTTTTTTAAATGGAGGACGTAATGTGTGGCACTGAAATCCGAAAAAGCACTGGGATAGCCAAAGATGCATTCCAAAAGCAATGTAGAATATTAAGAGAGAAAAAAGTTTGTTAGAATAAAAGAAAACAGTACAGAACTTTTATATGATATCTTTTCTCCTATATGGCAGTGAATGCTGGGAAATCTCCTCAAAGATGAAGAAGCGACTTGAAGAAACAAAAATGTAGTTCTTCAGAAGGATGCTGAGTATACCATATACAGAACTGCGAGCAACGAATAATTTTTTCCCGGTGGGTTTGAATTTAGCGTAGGTCACATTCGATTGGTTAATCACGGCAAAGCTCAGAAGTCTTTTGATTTTAAAGTTCTCTGCTTTTGAAATTAAATTAATCTTTCGCTCGCCAGTGGTTTAACATCATCCTAAGAGACAGAGTTGCGATTTTTAACGTTTTCTTTAAATATCCCAAAGTAAATAATATTTAGCTCTACTTTGTACTGAGTTCTCTTTTAATTTAAATGTTACGTACAGTGGAATTATATTCCATTTGTTCTCATTTTACCGGGATATATATATATATATATATAATTTTACCGGGATATATATATAATATAATTTTTTAAATTTAAATCTCCATAGACATGCAAACTAGACGAGGGTTAATGCATTTTCCGTTTCAAATTTAGACACCCCCACCTTTCACTGACTTGACATCTACGAAAGTAACTCTATACTGATACTTATTATTAACACCCAACACCCGCCTACCCAACTTAAACAATTCGGCCTAGCTGTTACCATGGAAATTTTGATTTCAATTTTAAAACACGTAAATTTCAGAAACACGTTATTCCAAAAAAAATTTCGCTTGAAGATGGAACAGAGCTTATTTTAACTCAATTTAATTTAAATAATTTAAATAATTATATTGAAGTTTTCGGCTCTTGTTTTGAAACATGGGACTTCTTACGTCGCGATTTGGAATCATATTTTTAAATAAATAATTATATTTATGCTCTACTTTTGTATCGAGCACTATTTTAAAAAAATAATAACTAAAATACTAAGGGACTTTCGATTATTTACCTAACCAGTTCCTTCCTATTTTCTATATATTTTCACACACACACACACACACACATATATATATATATATATATATATATATATATATATATATATAACGTTATACATTTTTATATTAATCTCGCCTTATCTGTCTTCCTCGCTACCCACATTTTTATATAATTTTTCTTGTACTTCCATTTACCCAATTTCGCATTACTTATAGAGACTAATATAATATAAATATTCAATAAATATTAAATATTTAAAATCTGGAGGTTCGTAGTCCGAAGATTTCAACACTGTTGTTACATCTACCTCATTGTACTAAAGGGAAAAGTTTGGTGGATTCTGAAAGCTAACATGAACGGGAATATGGACGCAACCTAAGGTTATTTTAGCATTTATTCAATACACAGTTGTGCATTGTTCTCATTCAACTGAAATAAGAAAGAATACCTTGTACCGTTCTACCAGGAGATGCTAACTGATAGCAGATATCTACCTTTTGCTGGTTGGATTGAATAAAATGTTTATGCTCAAAGTTCATAGGATGTTAACAGCTATGAAAAACACCCGAAGTATACCTGTGGCTAAAACGACCGATATGAAAATGAAGACAAACGTTCGAGTTAATAAGTGTGACATGAATAACAAACTTGAGTAAAAGGTGTGTCCGAGCAAGGAATGTTGCAAATATTGCTTAGAACTATACAGCATTGGAAACCCTGTAGAACCATGATCACGCAATTCCTGTAGGAATACAGCACTTAAAAGAAGGTCAATGTCCAACAGATTGTCAACTCAGTAGGAAACGATCATATAGGAGATAGATCAAACAGTGAGGTTTGCTGGTTACTACATGTCAAAGAATAGCAGAATCACATTTGTCACGGAAGGAATTTGAAAAAAAAACAAACAAATATCCTCTATTGCACTAGCTATGGATGATAGTAAGTATGTTAACATGTATTCGAGATGTTATCCAAATTTCAGGTAACTTCATTCAGAAAAAGAAAGGGAAATTGATAGAAAATAAAGCAATTCTTTTCTTGGCGGAGAAATTTAGTTTGTAGTGATCACTTAAATGTGCCACACATCCGCTTTCTTTAATGTCATTGGTTCATAAATATAGGGTACTTACCATATGACAATTTTGCCATCGCACATCATTTGAATTTTTCTCTAAAATCACGGATTGGTCCATTTCCTGACCAATCGCGTATTTTAGTATCTTTGTATATTTTTGGCTCCAAGCTCACTGGAGCCTATGCGTAACTATAAAAACCCTCTCGCTGTTTGCCAACAGCCAGTAGCAGTTCAATTCTTGGAAAATGAGGCACGGCGCTATATTGACATTTTAATTCTTAATTATTACTCATTCGATTAATCATACTAACTCCTATTGATATCACTCATGAACATTGCATCTTTCTACACTGATAAAACACTGTGGAACTATTTATTCAGCTAAGATCTCAATTGAACTTTGTAGTTAAATAACATTCAATATTGTACTCAACATTAATTAGCTAAACTTACCCTTTTTATTACGGAAAAAGGGAAGCAACTTTCTTTATACTTATTGTTGAAATTTGTATATCATTGTTAATACAATATTTTATTAATGTTCACTGAGCTTAATTATTTTTCTCTCGTGTTTGTTGTCCATTATTCATGTGGGGTGTTGTTTTACAAGAACACAGCTTTCCTTCTTGATTATATTCACGGTGACCCTAGCCAACAACTCTTACAACACCACTACAAGTTTATTGAGCGAACTGTTTGAATTATCATTGAGGATAACGGTTAAGTTCCAAGATGCATTTACTGTTCAACTAGATGGATCTTTGCGGCCAACAAGCATATATATTTCGGCTTCACATTAAAACACCGGTTCGCGTACAATCTCCGATGTTATGAAATGTCGAGCTTGGATGGTCGAACAGTTGACGCTGTAAGCTTGGAGGTGCGGGTATTGAAAATGTATAAGAATCCGTGATTTGAAATCAGAAAGCCGAGTTCTGATTCCAGTCGTTTTCGTTATATTCACTTAAGCGTAAATACCGGTGAGAAAATTAAAAATTCACCTCTTCTTCTCCAACTGTAGGTTGTTTAACAGTAATCTCTTATTATCTCTAAAAATTCTTAAAATGTAAAAATAATTTCTGATTTTAAACTAACCTGCAAAAGATTGAGAAACCGTAAAATAACAACACAAATAAATCATAAACCGCGTATTTACTAGTATAAATAGGCAGTGGATTTTTTTTTTAGTCCTAGCATTCAGACGATGGTAAGAAACTATTATAAAAGTATTCATGTAATTTTTTTTAAAACCAAGAGACACCTTTTAATGTTAAGATTTAATAGCCGAATGACTTAATGTTTCCCATTCATCATTTGAGCCTGTTCACTTTTGGCTAAATTTTGTTTGTCATTGTCTTCCTAGAATTTATTTTTATTTTCTTGTTAGATTTCCTTTCTTCCTTCTTTCCGTCATCCCTTTCTTCCTTCATTTATACTTTCTTTCTTTCATTCGCAGGTTCGCCATTTCATTTCTCTATTTACTTTCTTTCCTTCCTTATTCTTTCCATTCACCATTCTTTGCTTTCTCTCTTCTATCACCCTGTTCTAGTCACATCTCTTTATCTCCCTCCTTCTCTTCAGCCATTCTGCATACTTCCCATCCGCCCTACCTTAATTTCAACATTTCTTACATCACTTCATCTTCATTTCCTTTCCGCCATTTTGTTTCCTTTCATTATTTCCCGCCTATCTGCTTTCCTTCTACTCGTTCTCTTTTTTTCATTATTTATTTCCTTCCTTCTTAGTCATCTTTCTTTCCTTCCTATGTGCAAACTTTTCCGTTCTTCATTCTTTCCGTCCTTTCTTTTTTTTTTCTACCTTCTTCCGCCTGTGCTTCCTTCTTCCGTTAAAGCTTTCTTTCTTTGTTGTAATTCCATTGCATTTTTCCCGCTAAAGACTTACAGTTCATTCTTCGGGTATATCTTTCAATCGCGTTTCTCTATTTGATTCGTTTTCTTTTATTTGTTTTATTTTTAATCATTTCATTTGTCTTTTTTTTCTCCTTTTTTTATTTAATTTATATAAAAGTCCAATTTATAAAATTGGTTTATTCTTTCACTTTTTATCCTTCATTCGTTTTTATTGAAACCAGCATTTCTCCATTTATTAAATCACTCGCTTTTTTTTCCTTCTTTCGTTCCGTATTTTCTTTCTTTTATTTATTTTTCCATTTTTCATTTTTAAATTTCCAAATGACCGAATTAGCAAGATGATCTCTTTCATTGATTTGTCTGTTTATCATTCTTCGCACGTAATCATTAAAACGTTTTTTTCCTCTCTAACCTAATTTAATCATTATCTTTTTATAATTCATAGTGTTCCTTTTATATCATTTATTTTTCTATTTTTCATTGATGTATCATGTTTTTCTTTCTTTATTGTTTTTCTGTTTTTTTTTCTTTGTTTTTCTATTTTCCTTTTTCTGTCTTTCGTTTTCTATTTTTCTTTTCCTTTTAATTTTTCTGATTTATTTCATTTTTTATCAAGAGTTTCTTTTTTTTTCTTTTTTTTTCTTTTTTCAAACTTTATTTTCCATGTTCTGTGTTCTTTTTATGATTCTTTTATCATTTTGCCTTTATATATTATTTTTCTATTTCCTATTTTCTTTCTTTGATCTAGTTTAAATTTTTCCCTTTTTTCTTTTACAATCTTTCTTTATCATTTTTATAATCCTAATTTTTCATCTTTATCTTCCATTTTCTTCGCGCTTTCATTTATTCTTCTGTTTTTACCTTTTTTTTCCATTTTTCTCTTACGCTTTTTTCTTTATATATTTCTTTTTTGCTTTTATCTTTCTTTTGTCTGTTTTTTTTTCTTTTTACCTAATTGCGCCATTTTTTTCTCTCCTTTTCACATTCCCTTTTTCAATTTTCGATTTCTTTTTTTTATTTTTATCTATTTCTTTTCTATCATATTATTTCTATTTTCTTTTACGTTTTTATATTTCTTTTTCTTTTTTGTATCATTTCTTTTTCTTTTTCTATCTTTTTATCTTCCTTTTTTCAATCTTTCTTTCATTTTGGACGTTTTCGCTTTTATTTTTGTATCTCTTTCGTATCATTCTTTATCAATTTTTCTTCCAGACCATGTTATCCTTCTATTTCCTTCACTCCTGCATTCTTTTTTTTTCGTTTTTTTTTCTCTTTCGCTTTTTTTATATTCCATTTTTTTCTTTTTCATTTTCGATATTTATCTTTTTATTTATCTTTTGTCATTTTTATTTTATTTTTACTGTTTTACATCATACTATTTGCTAATTTTCTGTTTCTTTTTTTTCTTTTTTAACTCTTCTTTTTTTTTCTATTTTCTTTTGAGTTTCTTATACTCTTGACCTTTCTTTTTTCTATTTTCTTTTGTGTTTCTTATACTTTTTACCTTTCTTTTTTTCTATTTTCTTTTGTGTTTCTTATACGTTTTACCTTTCTTTTTTTCTATTTTCTTTTGTGTTTCTTATACTTTTTACCTTTCTTTTTTATTTTCTTTTGTGTTTCTTATACTTTTTACCTTTCTTTTTTTTTTTTTTTTTTTTGTGTTTCTTATACTTTTTACCTTTCTTTTTTTTCTATTTTTCTTTTGTGTTTCTTATACTTTTTTACCTTTCTTTTTTATTTTCTTTTGTGTTTCTTATACTTTTTACCTTTTTTTTTTTTCTATTTTCTTTTGTGTTTCTTATACTTTTTACCTTTCTTTTTTTCTATTTTCTTTTGTGTTTCTTATACGTTTTACCTTTCTTTTTTTTTCTATTTTCTTTTGTGTTTCTTATACTTTTTACCTTTCTTTTTTATTTTCTTTTGTGTTTCTTATACTTTTTACCTTTCTTTTTTTTTCTATTTTCTTTTGTGTTTCTTATACTTTTTACCTTTCTTTTTTTTTCTTTTTTCTTTTTGTGTTTCTTATACTTTTTTACCTTTCTTTTTTTATTTTATTTTGTGTTTCTTATACTTTTTACCTTTCTTTTTTTTTCTATTTTCTTTTGTGTTTCTTATACTTTTTACCTTTCTTTTTTTCTATTTGTTTTACAAAAATTTTTCTATCTTTCAATTTTGATTTTGTCCTTATATTTTTCTATGTACTCTTGCCTTTATTCAGCTTTCAGTCTTTCTTTCTATTTTCTATTTTTACATTTTAGTCGTTATTTTTTTGGATTTTCTACAGATCTTTCATCTTTTTTCTCGTTCTCTTTTTATAGTTCTCTCTTTTATCTTTCTTCCCATTTTTCTTTTTTTTATCTTTGTCTATTTTATTTCTCTTTCATTCTTTTTTTATCCTTTTTTACTGTTTTGACATTCTTTTTCATTTTTTTTCTATTTCTTTCTTTGTTTTGACTATTTTTCTTTTTTCCTATCATTTTTTCTTTCTCTACATTACATTTCATTTTTTTTCATTTTTCTGTCATTTATCCTTTTCTAACTTTCATTTTTCTTTTTTCTATCTTTTTCCTTTCCCCCTTGCCTCTTAATACACAAAGCTGATTTCCCCTTTTTTGAGTATATTCTCCTTTCCTTCTAGGCACACTTTAAAAAAAAATCTTCATATGATTTCCCTTTCCTTCTATTTTTATTATTAATTTCCTCTTTATTTTCCCCCTTTTTTAACTTCATTTTCCCGTTAATCCCGCGGGTGGAGCAAGCGGTCTTTATCCTCCTCCACCATCAGACAAATATGTTTCCTTTAGTCTTCCCCACTTTTCTTGTATTTTTCGAACCATTACACAAATGACCGGCGACCACAATGACCACTACATCAAACGTCCATCGTCCATTATCCTTTTCTTTCTTAGAAACAGATCTGTTGTAGTAGATATCATTATGACAGCCATTATAGTTAAATGCATCGTGAGCACAAATGATGTCATTCACGGCCCTATTATATTACATCATCGTTAGTGTTATATACTGATAATTACATTTCCAGTAATGACGCCCACGGTATTGTGAGGACGTAACCCCAAGGGTTTATTCTTTATGTTTTCGATTGAATATTTTTATACCATTTATTTGACTTCCTAACCGTTAACGCTTCTCCATTTCATTCCTGTTGTTTGCTTTACTTTCTTCTTTATTTTCGCATTTTTATTCTTCTTTTTTGTCTTTCCTTTCTCTCTTTCCTTTCTTTATTTTTCTCAATTATATTTCTCGGGCATCGATTATGTGTTTTTCATTTTATTCCTTCTTTCCTTCTCTATGATCCATTATCTTTTTTTCATTCTTTCTTTCTTTTCTCTCTCTCTCTTTTTGTTTTTTTTTTTCTTTATGTTCTTCCTTATTCTCTTTATTTTCTTTCACAAATATATAATTTGATTGTCTTGGATTAAGTTTCATTTAACAAAAATATGGCTTTCATTCATTCTTCTTTGTTTCTTCTTTCTTTCTTTCTTTCTTTCTTTCTTTCTTTAAATTGTTCATTCTTTTTCTTCTCTTTTGAAGATGCATAATTTGATTGTTCTGTGTTAATTTTCATTGGAAGTAAATATTTTAAAGAAAATATGAAGGGCTTTCTTTCTTTCTTTCTTTCTTTTGTATCTGCTTGAGTTCATTCTTCCCACTCTCTAGTTCTTTCTTTCTTTCTTTCTTTCTTTCTTTCTTTCTTTCTTTCCTTCTTTCTTTCTTTCTCATACAATACTTTTTTATTCCACCCGATTTAATACTTTCCTCTCTATACCTCTACTTGCTTATTTCTTTCTTTCTTTCTTTCTTTCTTTCTTTCTTTCTTTATTTATTTCCCTAAGATCCATTATTTATTTTCCATTCTTTCTTTCTTTCTTTCTTTCTTTCTTTCTTTCTTTCTTTCTTTCTTTCTTTCTCATACAATACTTTTTTATTCCACCCGATTTAATACTTTCCTCTCTATACCTCTACTTGCTTCTTTCTTTCTTTCTTTCTTTTTCTTTCTTTCTTTCTTTCTTTCTTTCTTTCTTTCTTTCTTTCTTTCTCATGAAATACTTTTTATTCCACCCCGATTTAATACTTTCCTCTCTATACCTCTACTTGCTTCATTCTTTCTTTCTTTCTTTTCTTTCTTTCTTTCTTTCTTTCTTTCTTTCTTTCTTTCTTTCTTTCTTTCTTTCTTTCTTTCTCATGAAATACTTTTTATTCCACCCGATTTAATACTTTCCTCTCTATACCTCTACTTGCTTCTTTCTTTCTTTCTTTTTCTTTCTTTCTTTCTTTCTTTCTTTCTTTCTTTCTTTCTTTCTTTCTTTCTTTCTCATGAAATACTTTTTATTCCACCCGATTTAATACTTTCCTCTCTATATCTCTACTTGCTTCTTTCTTTCTTTCTTTCTTTCTTTCTTTCTTTCTTTCTTATTCCATTTCTTCTTGACTACTATTCATTCCTTTATCTGTCTCTATTTCGGCTTCATTTATTTCATACAAAATGACGATTTCATTCTTTCTTTCGATGGTTCTTTCTATATATACGGTTTCTCGTTTAAATTTTGCTAAGTTTTTCTCTCTTAAAATTATTGTTTTATTTGCTTCTTTTTTTTCTGTCGTTCTTTTCTGACATTCGAACTTACAGTTTTTACACACACACACACACACACACACACACACACACACACACACACACACACACACACACACACACACACACACACACATATATATATATATATATTTATATATATATTCTTGTTTGTTCTTTTTTGCCTTCTTCTTATCTTTATTTATTCTCTCTTGTTCTCTTTGCCTTTCTGTTATTTTGATACAAAAAAAAAAATATGAAAGAAACTTCCGGAAAAGGAAATTAAAACTCGCCATTGAAATGCAAGGCTAACGTTGTATAGACAACAAATGTCTGAAACATTGTAATGACCGAGTCTCAGATTTATACAACTTTTGTCCGACTGCAATATTTAGCTTTGACTTCTTTTTTTTTTGTTTTGGTTTTATCACAATCTTTCGTTCACTGCGTTCTTCAGCATTTTTTATTGTGTATATGCTTTATCCAGTAATCTCATGTGCTTTTTACTCTCCAGGGTTTTTTTTTCTCTTCTTTTTGTAATAGATATTTCTGGATTCGTATGGTGAACTTCAGTAAACAAAATTGATCTTTGTCGTTCAGATCTGTAACTCTCTACAAACCAGAGGAAAAAAACACACGACATTATGGGAAGCACAATAAAACAGATGAATATCAAACAAACAAAGAAACAAACAAACGGAGACGAGAATGCTGTTCTAAATAACTCCTGAAACAATCTCTATATAACACTCAGGAACAAATAACTTAATTGATAAAACTGTAAGCTTTTTTTTCTTTTTTTCGAAAATACTTCCAACACTAGTTGTAAAGTGACGCACGGTGCTAACTTTATTCTAAGTCGACAGAATGTATAATTATCAGCAAGATGGTTAGCGCAACATGCAATTACGGATTGAAGATACCAAAGTGAAACAAGTGTGAAAATGTGGCATGAAATCTTATTGAAAATGTGGCTTATTGAAATAGTGAAAAACGCCTTTCAAAATCTAAGCAAGATATTTAGAAGCAAGAAAATGTCTTTAGAAACAAAACAAGAAAAACAAGTGTTGAAATCTTATATCATATCTATCCTCTTGTATGCTAGACAATCTCCTTACAGATGCAGAAGAGATGGGGGGCATCTGAAATATGGTTCTATAGAAGTATGCTAAGAATGCATTGAACTAAACATGTCAGCAAGGACGGAGTTGGGGGGGGGCGATTTTGGTTAGAAAAAGACGCTTATACATATAATCACGGAAAGGCAGTTTAAATTTCTCGGATTTGTAATGAGGACACAGGATTCTCACTGGACATATTAGAGGCAAGAGAGAGGCGGAGGAAAGCGTCTAATAAACTACCCAACGAGTCTGTGCAAATGGATGACAGGAAAGGCCTTAGGAGAAGTGATGCAAGAAAAACCTTAAAAAGGGCTACAAACAATAAGAATATCTAATTTGAGCGCTTATCATTGTTTGCTATACTTATATTAGGACTCTTGTTACTGTTATCACAAAGTTTCTGTTGTTTTCCTCTCTGGCCTTCCTTAGTTGTATATCGATCTGCAGGGAATTTTGAACTGAACTACGACGGTAAAAACGCTCTCCTTCCACTGCCCATGTTTGGGAATATCTCGTCTAGTGCTTATTTTTAGTATTGCTCAGGTATTGTTAACCCGTTTACACTAAATTCAATATGACGCTGCCCGAAGCAGAGATTGAACTCACAAGCGCTACGTCACCAAACCTACGAACCAACGCTTTAATCGACTAAGCCATTAGCCCTATCAGATTTATGGCTTTCTTCTAATTCATTTTTCTCTCTTTATCATTTCTTCTGCTAATCGATTTTTCTCCCATTTCTTTGATTTCGACAATGTACTCTTTCTTTCTTTCTTTCTTTCTTTCTTCATAGTTTGTTTCGTTCTTGCAAGAAAGCCATCTTTCTTTTCTTGATTTCTTTCTACCAACACAACGTTCTTTCTCTTTCGCGTTCCTTCTAACAATACATTTCTTTCTTTCTTTCTTTCTTTCTTTCTTTCTTTCTTTCTTTCTTCCGCTCCCCCCTTTCTCTTTCTCTCTCTTAACTAAAATTTAACTAAGACTTATAAATAAGCTCATAATAACAATATTAATATGGTAGACAGTATCAACAGAACTAGTTAAATTATTACTGAAAAATTAAAAATAAGCGATAGGGTAGGCAAACTGGCTGAAAAGGAATGCTGCATCACTACAGGATTTTGAGGAAGACCCCACTACCAGAATGATAAACCCAACCAGTCCCGATATAGGAAAGATAAGCAAAACAATCCTAGAAAGTATCACTAGGCAAATCAAAAACTGCCTTGGATTAACACTTTGGATTAATACCAAAGAAGTTTCTCATTCTATTTCACATTATGGACTTCTTTTAATTCATCTTTCTCTCTCTATCATTTCTTCTGATTTCGACTATGTACTCTTTTCCTTCCTATGTTCGTTCGTTCCTTCATTTCTTCCTAGTTTGTTTAATTCTTGCTAAATAAAACGTCCTTTCTCTTTCGTGTTCCTTCTACCAATACAGTTCTTTCTTTCTTTCTTTCTTCCAGTCGCCTCTTTCTTTCTTTCTTTCTTTCTTTCTTTCTTTCTTTATTATTCTCTTTCTTTCTCCTCTTTCAACAAATGCGTAATTTGATTGTACTGGCTTAATATTCATTTGAAGACAATATTTTAAAGAAAATATCGAAGATTTTCTTTTTTCTTTTTCCTTTCTTATAATGGCTCTCTTTCTTCAGTTTACTGTTCGTTTTTGTACTTCCACCTCTGATATTTGCTTTATTTCTTTATTTCTAATTTTTCTTTCTTTCTTTCTTTCTTTCTTTCTTTCTTTCTTTCTTCATAGTTTGTTTCGTTCTTGCAAGAAAGCCTTCTTTCTTTTCTTGAATTCTTTCTACCAACACAACGTCCTTTCTCTTTCGCGTTCCTTCTACCAATACATTTCTTTCTTTTCTTTCTTTCTTTCTTTCTTTCTTTCTTTCTTTCTTTCTTTCTTTCTTCCTTTCTTTCTTTCAGTCGTCTCTTTCTTTCTTTCTTTCTTTCTTTCTTTCTTTCTTTCTTTCTTTCTTTCTTCCAGTCCCCTCTTTCACATTCTCTCTTTCTCTCACTCTATTTCTCATTACTTCTCCGAATCCAGTTTACTTTTTTTTCATCCCTGATTTTCTTTTCACCTACAACAAACATGCAATTGAAGGCAGGGTGATAACAAGAAAATTTGCCTCGAAAATTAACATTCAATATTCGGATTTTTAATTGTCCTGGAAAGCCAACGAAATATTTTACCTCGCTTATTCTTGCTTTTAATATATATTCCTTGATTTTGACTTGTTTCTTCCTTTTGCTCTTTCGTTTCTTTTAAGTTCTTTTGTATATTCTTATTCCTGTATTCATTTAGATTCTTATGAGAAAAACATTCTTTACCTATCTCTTTTCACTACATTTCATCTCTGCTTCTTTCGTTTTCCGTTCACAAGTAACTTTTCTATCTTAACCATATTCCTGATTGCCACCGTTCCTCGCGCCTGCAACTAACGCTTGATAAAAAGAAAACGGTATACCAAAGCAATTGTTTCATTTACTATGCCAATATCCATTCTTTTATGAGTTAAGATTTTTGTCACTTTCTTCAAATATTCACACCTTATAACATATTCTCCATCTTCAAAAGCAGTATCCTAACAACCCTTAAATGGATATTGCGGGAACCAAAAAACCGTGGCCAAATTTCTAATATTATTTTACTTGGCGTAAAAAAAACCCCCAAAAAACAAAACAAACTATGCCGCATTTCTCAATATCTTCTGAGAAACATTATATATATATATATATATATAATATATATATATATATATATATTACGTGGGAGAAAACTTAACGCTTTGATTCCACAGAAGGAATAGTGTTTTCTAATATATTTTTTTCCTTTTTCTTTGAACTGTGTTCGGAGCGCCGCAATGGCTCAGATCAAATACTAGCCAGCGTTGATGACAGAGGTTTTCTGCTTGACTCTTTGAATAAACCCTATGTTATTACCAATATACACAAACCTTTGCGCTATCAGAAGTCTGATGTAGATTCGAAAAATAATCGACATTTCACAAAACACATATATAACAATAGTACAGCGTTACACGTATCGCCATCCTCTACCCACAAACATAAGATTTTTTTCACATATATATATATATATATATATATATATATATATTTGGTTGGATAGATGTGAGTTTGTGACCCTGGGTTTCACGCTTTAGCGATCGTCAGACAAACTGATTACTGTTTTAAAAAATTTGGGTTTATGTAGATTGCGTGTATTGGTGTTATTGTGGAAGTGGTGGGGGAGATTTCGTCGTTTTGTCATTCATCGTACTAACGCAAACATCGATGTATGCAGACACATATACATATACATACTTGGTCGTCCGTCGGGACTCATACATATATATAAACATATGTAGACAGTTTCGGCTATGACACATGTATGTATACGGGTGGTGTTATGTCTATACATACGCATTTGTATGTTGAAATTTAAACATTGGAAGTGTGGCGGAAATGTCTCGTCATTGTCTCGTGAATGTATCCATGTCATATTATGAATTTTTTTTTTTTTTTTTTTTTTTTTCCGTTGAAAAATATTTGAAAAATATTTTCTCGCATGTATGTATATATGTGTGGTGGGGTTTGTGTAAAATTATGATAGGTAAAAATTATTATTAAATTATTTATATTTATTTTTAAATTTTTGAAAAAAATGGGGGTTTATTTGTTATATTTAAAGCTGGTTATTTGTTTGTTTTTGGTGACTGTGTATATGTAACAGGTAAAATGTTAGCTCTATCTCTGATATTGAGCGCTTTCTAATAAGTACCGCGCATATAATATATAAATAATTATACATATATATATATTTATTTATATTTATATTCACTTTTCACATATATATATATATATATATATGTGTGTGTGTGTGTGTGTGTATATATATATATATATATATATATATATATATATATATCAAATTTGTTTTGCGAAGATGTATTCTCGCCATTTAAATCATTAACCTCTATATATGTCTTTTGTATGAATGATTCATGTCATGTAAATTGAACTGCACCACATACTTGATATTAAAATATCTGATGCAACGTGCAATTTTCGGATTATAACTGTTACATTCCTGTATTTATTGAACTATTTAGTTCATGCCACATTGACTGAAAAACCTACCAGTACAAAAGAATTCTCCTATTACCATATTAATACAAAAAACGCTCAATCTTAAAATTTAAAAATTCAACCTCAGCGTTGCGACCGTACGCTCCAAAAAATTCATAGAATTAACAATAACACATTTCTAAAAACATTTTTTCGGATTACATCTATTCTTTCGTTGTCTTGTTATTACCGAGAAGTAAAAAACAAAAACAAATCTATTTCCATACCTGAGGATGTCTGTATGAACAGATGAAAGTTTGTAAAAAAGTTAAAAAAAGACCTTATGCAACTGGAATTTATAAACAGGGATCATAACATTCACCTACAAGTTCGGGGTTAATGTAATTTATTAAATTTGTTTGCAGAGAGGTATTCTCGCCATTTAAATCATTAACTGTTTTTTGTATGAATGATTCATGTAACATATATATATATATATATATATATATATATATATATATATATATATATGTGTGTGTGTGTGTGTGTGTGTGTGTGTGTGCGCAAAGTGCCAATTTTAGTTATTTCAAATGTTTAAATGAACTTGTAAGGTTGATTTTTTTTTTCATTTAATTATTCATTTAGCTTTGAAACATTTCAACCCAAGCAAGGAAATAAAGCCACTAAGATGCAGGGGAATTACTGAGTTTGAAAGAGAAAAGTAGGGTTAAAGAGTGAGAACAATAAAAGAACATGAATTAAGAAGAAAGAATATAACGATTGGAATCAAAAAAAGTTCCGCAATCGAGAAGTTAGACAGAGAAGAAACTATCCACGTAGAATTTATCGTTGCATCCAGCCATTTCGACTGTAAAAAGATGAGACTTTGCCGGCAGCCCATTACTGCGCCTAAATTCATAAATTCTAGCGGAAAGTTCATCAGAACAATTACCATGAAAGTATTTATAAAAACTATCTAACAATGAATTCAGTCAGTTATGTGCCACGCTTACGCGATCAAATATCTTTCGATACATGTCCGACGAGACAGAATTTTTCCCGCATTTCTTTCTGCGGTAGACCAGTTGCTATCCAAGGCTATAGAATCCAGTCTGTCCTGCTATTTACCTATAGCCCCGGGAAGAAGGAGAGGATTCATACCTTTCCCAATGATATTAGCACGTAAGTGAATGTAATGGATTCGACTGGAACTTGAACTCGAACGCGACTCTCCGACTCGGCAATTGGAGCCGTTATCCATTACTCCGATGTGCCTCCTCAATGAGCGATTTGTCTAAATTACATAATAATAACCATTCTGTTTGTCTCTCTCTTTGTTAGTTATTTCCTTATTTTGCACGACCGTTAAGCCCTGTCAGTACCTCATAAATAAAGAACTATTCTATTTTGATCGCCTGAAAAACCGCAGGTGACATCTCAGGGATGCTACTTGGTTTCAGTGAGAAAATGAAAGGGAGGAAGTAAGAAAGAAAAAAAAAGTAAAAAAAAAAGAAGTAAAGTATAAGCATTTTACATCTTCTGCCAATACCTTATAAATACCGGACTATTCCATTTTGATTTGAGAAGAAAGACGCTACTTGGTTTCAGTAAGTGAGAAAAAGAAAAATAGAAAGAAAGAAAGAAAGGAACGTATAAGAGTTTAAAGTCTGTTACAGTGAAAGAGAAAGAGTTCTCAATTTCAAATCTTTTCATAGTTGTTATTGCAATATTTTGTTTAAGGTTTCATCTCAAATATTTATCGATGTGATAGGTGAATTTATACGGATATTGTATTGTTGTAGAAATCGCTCTGAGCTTATTTAATCATTAACTGAGATTTACGACCAATACAAAATAAATATAGGAAAACCGTGAAGTTCTCAAGGGTCTTTCTAGTATATATAATTATGTTAAAATATTATGTGTAAAATAATTATCCTAGTATAATTGTTCTTCTCCCCTACCTTCGTTAGTAAGCACGACCATTATGTCCTGCCACATAAATAATGGACTATTCCGTTCTGATCGCGAGGAAAAAAGGGAAAAGACACTACGTGGTTTCAGTGAGAAAATGAATGATACAAAAAGACATGATTCAAAAGTTTAACAGCTGTTTTAGTTTAATGGAAAAAGTTATCAATGTCAAATCTTTTTTTTTATTTGTACGCCTTAGTTCATTGAATATTTGCGATTGCTATTACAATATTCTGTTAAAGTTGTTTATCTGAAATATTTAACGATGCAACAGGAAAATTTCTACGGATATTTTATTCTCGTAGAAGCCGCCATATGCTTACTCAATCATTAACTTATGTATTAAGATGAATCAAAGTATTAAAATAGGAAAAACGTTACATTCTCCACGGAATCACGATAGTTCGAAATCTTGAGTATTCTATTCCTTTAGAACATCATCTCCTGCAAGATTATTTAACAAGACATTCATCTATAATATTTACGGGAAATACATTCCCGTTTCTTTTTTTCCTGGGTATAATGACAAACTACATCCAGCAGCAAGGCCTGTGATCTGTAGAACTATCTGTTAATTGCTTTTGTTCCCAGATCTAATCCTGGGTGGTAGTATAGTGGGTTATCAGTTATAGTGAAGTGTATGAGTGTGAAAACAGATTAGTTTGATTTGGCCTTGTTAAATAGCCCACCATAGGAGGAGTATAAAACAAGAAAATCAAATTGTAAAGCGAAACAACATATTTATATACATAAAATCAATTAAGGTCTTTACAAAAAAAATAATGTATCTTGTTTGATACAAGGTTGTCAAAATGTTCGTAGTCTTCATTACAAGAATGAGTTTATGTGTACGTAGGCAGGAACATATATATATATATATATATATATATATATATATATATATATATGTATGTATGTATGAGCGTTATCGAAGGGTAGGAATGTTTTTGAAGTAATCGCTCAGTCTGAAATTGTTCCGTTCGTTTATCAAAAGAGGTGAGGGAGAAAGGTAGAGATAATAATAACAGTCGATTGACGTTTGTCAAGGGACGTGTTAATACGCTCGTCTCCTTCTCTCTGGCGACAGGTGAACTTTGCCCGTCTTTTATTTTGTTTGTGGGTCTTGAAAAGATCATTTGGGAATTCACTCCCGGATATGATTCGTGCCTTTCCATTGGACGATGAACAAACTTCGCGAAAAGGTCCGTAAAAGAGTGTTTCTGAAAATTGAAGTTTATTTGAATTTTGTTTTTAAATGTTTCCTAGTTTTCAATTGGCCGAAAAAACATTTTGCATCAAGGTGTGAAATTTCACGAGTTTTGTTTTGGATTCGCTTTTGCGTGTGTGTTAAGCAAAGTTTGTAAATTCGAGTCTTTTTAATTTCTAACAATATCAATGAA